TTTTTTTTTTTTTTATTTAACTTTGTACTGGCCCTATTTCAGGAGAGAGAACATTTGGAGTTTTAACAAAGATTGATCTTATGGACAAGGGTACGGATGCTGTGGATGTAAGTCTGCTAGTGTAGTTCATATATCTTACAGTACATTGTTGAAGGGATCAAGGGAAAACATAAAGGCAGTCGTGCCTTTACTTGATTATTAAGTAGACATCGTTCTCACCTTTTTAAACCATCAGAATAGAATTCTTGCTTTTCTCCATTGTACTATGATTGCTCCAGTCATGCATTTTTTTCCATTCTCTTATCAATGAATATCCAACTATGGCTGTGATCGATCAAACTGAGGCACACTCAGAAAAAGAAAGAGCGCCTGAACCAAGTCCCCCTTTCATTTCTCATGAAAGGTAGAGACTTGCTACGAGAAAGGTCTTCTTATCACCGCGTGAAAGATTGGAAAGAAAGAGCCAATATTTTGACAACTTGAATTATGTTTTTAGAGTCTACGCTTTCATTTTGCGCAAGTATTAAGCATTTTGTTGGGAGAAATCTATGTACTTAAAGTGGTTTGTAGGAGCAACTTAAATGCAGCCTCAGTCTGTTATATGGAAAAATATGCCTGTTGTGAGCCAATTCCATAACTTCTCATGACTGGTTTGAATATGTTTTCCTGGTTGGCTAATTTTGAATTTCTTACATTTTCTGTTATTGCTATTAATTCGGAAAAACATGCCAGTTGTTCGACTTTTGATATTGCATTCTGGCTGGTTTATTTAAATCCACAGATTTTGGAAGGCAGAGCTTATAAGCTGCAGTTCCCATGGATTGGCGTCGTTAACCGTTCTCAACAAGACATTAACAAAAATGTAGACATGATTGCTGCAAGACGTAGGGAGAGGGAATATTTTGCGCAGACCCCAGAATACAAGCATCTGGCTCACAGAATGGGTTCTGAGCATCTCGGGAAAGTCCTCTCGAAAGTAAGCAATACTGTCCCCATATATTAGTATGTATATTTTTTAGGAGAAATTATGCTGTACAAATTATAGTTAGATGACAATTAATGACTTGGTCAATTTTTTTTACTGGGGAATATGCCATGCCATCTCGTTTATAATTAACCAAGAGATGGTGAAAAAATGATGGAAATCGTCCAAGTCATTGGACCTGTGTGATTGACTTCAAATTGCGTCTCATAAATGCTGGTGCTATACTAGTTAAAAGATTTATGGATTTCATACATTTTATCTTATTCTTTATTTTGGATCTTCGCTTAGGTAACATTTGGTTGTCTTTATTGGTAGTACTTGATTAATTCATAATGATCTAACTTACACATTATAAAGGATTTAATAGACCTCATAATATTGTTGTTTGGTTGTTTAAAATACAGTAGGATATCAAACCATTATTAATATAAATTAAGCATTTCTTTATTAAGTTTCTATTCCAAAATATATGCATTTACAAAAATGCCCTCACAACAACAACAACAACAACAACAACAACATACCCAGTATATTCCATATTCCCAACTGGTTGGGGTCTGGGGGGTTTAAAGGAATCCTTCAAAATCTTATTAAGTTTGGATATGTGATATGGGATGAGATTTTGTATAAGGTTTTGTGTATGAAATCTCAACAAATCTTAAAAATTCGGAGTAAATTTCGGTGTCAAATAAGTTACATACCTTGTGATTTGTTAAGACTTTTTGAAATCTCAATGAATACCACAAAATTTTTAAGGGGATGATTGTATATAAATCAAAACTGGTTTTGATTGGATTTTGAGTTAAAGTGATTTAGTTTTAAATAAAGTTGATAGAGTGGAGGACTGAGTGAGATTCTGAGTTTGTATTTAGATAATATTTAAAATGTGCAGATTAAAGTTGATGTGATGTAAAAGTAGGAGAGAGGTTATTGGAAATGATACATAGTTAAAAATATGTGAATAAATTTATAGTGAATTAAAGTTGATGTAATGTGTGACAATAATTAATTGATATTATTTAATTATATTGATAATATTGAGGAGAGTTGAGTTGGATTTAGACTCAATGAGTGTAAAAAAAATATCCAATTGGTCAAAAGCGGTTTTAATCTATCAATCGGTCTTTAAAATTTTTAAAAAGTCCAAATTAAATACGCCAGGATTTTTAAAGTCCTAACAAATCTTTATCAATCCCAATTCCAAATGAATACACCCCTTAAATCCAACCAAATGAATGAGTGCCTGAAAATGAAAGAACAGATGAAAAAGTGCCTTGAAAAATTTCTCAACTTGTCCCAAGAAAAAACATACTAATCTGTGGAAGATAGGGTGTGAGGTTCTTCTTTCTTTGCCGTGCGACCCACTCGATCTGCAATAATAATCAAAAAACAAATGAAAAATAAAAGAAATACAATCTCCATGACGTTAGATCCATGAATGTCAAATTAAGAATAATAATGGATCCCTCAGATCCACTGGTTTTCTCTTGCTTTTGTGTGAGAATAAGATTTTTATGGCTGAAAGAAAAAAAGGGGATGGTACGCGAATTAATATCAGTAGGTTTAATTTAGGGACATTTGTGTAATAATGAAAATTGTAATGTGTTATCCCGCCACAAGGGTGGGTGTGGTATAAATATTTTGAGTGATAAAAAACTGGGCTAAAGCACTAACATGGGCTTAAACTTGATGAACCAAACAAAATATAGGTATGGATATAATACTGAATAGCATGATATCACACTCTATCTCCAACCAAACGCACCTTTTGAATAAATTTGGTGGAGTACAGCTCTTTTTTGGGACAAAAAGGCTATCTTGTTGTTGTACAGCTCCTTTTTTTTTTGGTTTATTTAAATTTTATTTCTACACTGCAGCATTTGGAAGCTGTTATCAAATCACGAATTCCAGGTCTTCAGTCACTAATCAACAAAACCATCATTGAGCTGGAATCGGAGTTGAGTCGTCTGGGGAAGCCCATTGCAACAGATGCTGGAGTAAGCTTTTGCCCACCTTTCCTGTTCGCATTTTGTAGTTTTGGTCATTAGTAATTATTATTTCGTGATAGTAGACCTTCTTCTGTCTTTGAAATTGTCCTTCTATGTGCTTTGCCTCGAGTGTCAGGACCCCATATGTAATTTTAAACTTGTCCTGCTCTCTTGCATATTTATAAATGCTGGAAACTTGATGCAGGGAAAGTTGTACATGATCATGGAAATCTGCCGTATATTCGATGGAATATTCAAAGAGCATCTTGATGGAGTGTATGTCGTGCTTTTTATTTTTTTTGGTCTTTTCTATTGATATATATGTTTTTACATTATGCTGTTTTTTTAATACTGTTATTTTGTTTCCACAGTCGGCCAGGTGGCGATAAAATTTATAATGTTTTTGATAACCAACTGCCTGCCGCATTGAAGCGCTTGCAGTTTGACAAACATCTTGCTATGGAAAACGTGCGGAAGTTAATCACCGAAGCTGATGGATATCAGCCCCATCTTATAGCGCCCGAGCAGGGTTACCGTCGTCTTATAGAAACTGCCTTAATTACCATTAAAGGTCCTGCCGAAGCAGCTGTTGATGCGGTGGGTATTAGAAATTTGGTTGTGTTCATCTACGTTTCAGTCGTGCTATGTTATAGATGATTTTACAGGATTATTCTGAGAATTCACTGATATTTTTTAAGAAGCATCATATTCAGCTGCTTTAACTACTTTTTGGTTTTATGTCGATGTGTTAGTGACTTGACTTGGATTGTTTTGGATAGACCCCCAAAAACGATGTAAAGAAGGCATTGTACTGACCGCTTTGTTTTCTGTATTGCTTCAATAAATGGGCGAGTGATAAAACTGAATAGCTCTGCCAATTTTGGGTGATCGAAAGGTCGAATGGAATGGTTTTACTTGTATGCTTACTGGGGATGGATAGATTGGTTCGAGTGTATATAAGAAATTTTGAACACTATCAGAAACAATATGTTAAACGTTGCCTGTTTTTATGGTGTTTGTCGGTTTGGAAGACACCTTTGGAGTTCTAGTTGAATTAATATCTTGTTACTTATAAGCTAGTTATATTTAAGCGGGTCAGCTTCATGGTAAGCTTATGAATCTCTTCATATTTTCTGTTCAGGTTCATGCAATACTGAAGGAGCTAGTTCACAAATCAATTAATGAGACTGTGGTGAGTCCCAGTTTTACTATTTAATGCAACACCCCAATGGCAGGCTAAAGTCATTTTTCCAATTTAATGTTATTTTTTTTGGGTAAAATGTTTCTTTTGGTTTTGCCAGCCAGTTACATGGCTGAAGGTTCAGACCTTCTAACCCCTCTTTTCCGCCCCCCCTCTCTCTCCTCTCTCGCCCTCAGTATGAATGAAAATGTCAATTTGAAAAAAAGGAGATAAATTAGTAATATATTACAAATTCTAAAGATAGGCTTCAATCAAGAATTCTGTGCAAATGTGATGAAAGATTAATTGTGTCATCTGTGTTGTTTTGCAGGAGCTGAAGCAGTACCCTTCCCTCAGGGTAGAGGTTGGAAATGCTGCTGTTGAAGCATTAGACAGGATGAAAGAAGAAAGCAGGAAGGCAACCTTACAGCTTGTTGAAATGGAAAATAGTTACCTAACCGTAGATTTCTTCCGGAAGCTTCCTCAGGATGTCGAGAAGGGTGGCAACCCAACCCATTCAATTTTTGATAGATACAATGACACGTACCTGCGCAGAATTGGTAATGCCTTTTTGATTTTTTTTTATCTATTCCCTTAATGTAACTGAAATTAACCTAGGGGGCATCATATTTCATTATCATGTAGGGTCCACGGTCCTGTCTTACGTCAACATGGTGTGTGCGAGTTTGAGGAATTCCATTCCAAAATCTGTTGTTTATTGTCAAGTTCGCGAGGCGAAGCGGGGCTTGCTAGATCATTTCTTTGCGGAATTAGGCAAGAAAGAGGTACTAACTAAGAAAGCTGAATTATGTTCTCAACTCCAAAAATACTCGTACAATAGTTACCCAAAAAGAAAAGAATATGATGTAAATATACCCCATTGAGGTGTGGTACACCCTATAAGCTTGCACTTTATGAAATTGACCTAATTTGAACTGGTAGTTTTGGTTATTGGTACTTTGATTTATGCTGAAAGTGAGTTAAATGTGTGTGGGTCTCACAGGGTAAGCAATTGGGAAAATTGTTGGACGAGGACCCTGCAATTATGCAGAGACGTGTTTCTCTTGCAAAGAGATTGGAATTGTACAAAGCTGCTCAGGCAGAGATCGACTCGGTAGCTTGGTCGAAATAAGTGATTTATGTCAGCGGCACCTTCACTCAGTGATATGTAATATCTTTTGCCCTTTCTTTTCCCTGACTTTATGGTGACAAAACAATTTTAATTATAGCAGAGCCTGAGAATTCTGTGTGTTGTTATCCCTTTTGAATGTTTGTTGACGTCCTTTATTGTTTTCCCCAAAATTTATTGCCGGACAATAATTTTGTGTAGCTTGTGTTGTAATATATGAGTGGTGATAATATGGTTTGAACATAGACTTGAGCCGTCTGTTGGGGAACAATTATAAAAACTAATTTGGGGTTCTTTCTTTCCGGTCTAGAGTAGAAGATAGGCCTAAGAGGGGTTTGACCTGGTTTTGACTGATTTTTTTTATGACTAAATATTGGACTTGCACTTTCTGGAGTCTTACCTTAAGCAATTGGATAGGCTACATGGTACCATTTTCAAAAGTCTTTTTGCCGCCTTTGACGTGTGACCAATCACACATAAGACCTTAAATTGTTCCCATTGGGGCTCACTTTATCTCCACTTCGGGGGGTCTTCCATGAATCTATATTCAAAACTTCTTAACGAGAGACTATGTAATATAATAATAAGATCTTGCCTCCAAGGAGGCTCGATTTTGAACACCATTGACGAAACTCTTCTTAAAAAATTGCTCTACTCCGCTCTGAAGAGCAGAAGCGGCTCGGGTTGAATTAAATTATGTAAGAAAAATTCTACACTCTGAGTAGATACTCGTGGTATAATCATTTTCACAATTGATTTTCAGTGAGTTAGAAAAAATAGATTAACGTTAGCACGTAAAAGGATAGTTGTGAGATTCGAAAAGTTGAGAATCCTTTTACGTTGCTCTTTATTATGTAGCTTGTGGTGTAATATATGGCATGAGTGGTGATAATATGGTTAGAACATAGACTTGAGCTGTCTGTCGGAAAATAGTTATAAAAACTTTGGTTGACCTAGTTTTGACTGATTTTTCATAACTAAATACTTAATTCGAGTTGAATTAAATTATGTAGAAAAATTCTGCACTCTGAGTAGATACCCGTAGTATAAATATTCACAATATTGATTTTCAGTGAGTGAGAAATAATTGATTAATGTTAGCACGTAAAACGGTAGTTGTGAGATTCGAAAGGTTGAGAATTCTTTTACATTGAACTATTAAATGACTCTCTTTATTATATTAAAGAGAGATAAAGAGTTTTTTTTTTTTCAAAACAATAGAGGTATTCATTCCACAAAACAAGAAAAAGAGTACACGGAGTACAAACAGGAAGGGTAAAGAGCCCCGGGAGAACTACCCTACTAGATGGCATCAAAATCACACACCAAAAAATCAAACATCATAGAGCAATAACACCATTGACCCTCTAATACAACAATGAGTGATCTACTAACAGAACAAGAACAAGTAAAACACCATTGAACTAAAAGAGACCTAGTACTCCACTCCAGCTGCTCGTCTTTGCCCTTTAGCAGACACCAAAGAAAACTCTCCCTACTCCTTCCAAGATGCTCTCACCACCTCAATCTCAGGCATCTTGGTGTTCTAGAATTTCCAGATGTTTCTGGACTTCCAGAGTTACCACAATATGTAAGTTGTCAACTGTATTCTCTTCTCATAAATCACTTTTTCGTCAATAGCACAAACACCCCACCATTAGCTCATGAAGTTGCAAGTTTCAGCTTCCAAGCCATCCTAATTGATAGGTGCAAGGCTCTAAATCCTTCTGGCTATATGAAACTTGAAGAAAACATGCTCTATGGATTCCTTCTCTTCTCCACAGGTAGTGCAAACTGAGTCCACTTGTAGACCTTTTCTCTGCAAGTTAACACAAACATGCAGCAGATAAGTGAAGCACTTCCAAATGAAGTGCCTGATCTGACCTTTGATCCTTAAACCTCAGCTTCTCCTCCTAGTCTTCTTATCAAGCAAAGTTGTTCTACTACATTCAGCCACATCTAGGTCTCTCAACTTTTTGAGCATCAGGTGAGCATATGTTGAAGCCATTGAGAACACTTTCGTTTTTCTTTATTTTTTATTTTTCACCAAATGTCCAATACTGTTATGAATTATTTGTTATAAAATAATATATGTGAATGACTATTTTGCCCCCGATGTAATTGTATTATTACGGTTGTGCCATCAGAAGTTTCCTATAAATAGGAGCTTCAGTTATAATGAAAATTGTACCTAAGAAAACATTTTCTCTATTCTCTCTCTTTCTTTATAGTTTTATAACACGTTATCAGCACGAGTCTCTACCCTCTAGAGCTCGATTTGCGATATAATGAGAGTATGCTCTACAGTTGCGTCTTATAGACGATCCTCTGTATCAGAAATCAGTATCAATTTCGTTCTTTACTCAAATCAGATTATCGAGCTGCTGCTTATAGCTGTACCAAATCGGACCTCTGCGGATCCAAAATTAATATCAAGAAAAACAAAGAAAGTCGTTGGGTCTTTTGGACTCTAGAAAGTACATGTCCTTGATTTTATACAAATTTCTACGTACTCAGGTACCTTTCTTTTCTGATTTTGGTTTATGTTTTTGTCCGGATTTTGCATGATGTGATCTTGTGTTCCTGTTCTCTGTGCTCGAGGTGTTTGACAAATTGCTTGTTTGAGTGAATCTCCATTACGCGATCCCTTTTCCTTTCTAGCTCTGTTTTATTGTGTCCAACACCAAATTGGTCACGTTTGGCTTCATCAAAGCAAATTTGATACTTGGAGAAAAGTTTTTTTTATGTTCTCGCACAGAAATTTAATTCTGAAGAGATAAAAGCGTTGGGGATTTTATTGAGTAAGAAGAAAGCTCGGTGGCTTCTTTTGAATGTGAGATTGATGGAATTGATGTTTTTTTATGCCAATTTATTCAGTGAGTGGATAGTGATTCACTGAACCTAGTGATAATATACAAATCTGGGCCCAATTTTCAAGAAGGGAAAAGGATAATATATACATATATATATATATATAAACCATTCAATTACTACAAATAATAATATGAAATTGTTAATTGAGATATGCCAACAAGTCTCATTAATTAATGGACATGTTCTGGTTGTAACTTACATCACTGAAATAGCAAAATCAATTGTAGAATTAAATTATTTATAAACTCCATTCAATTATTTGCAATGACAAAAACTGTGGATATCTTTGTGGCCAAGGCACCAATTACTTGTGCAGTTGATAAATTATTTATTAAATGTGTATTACTCTATTTAATAAAAGCTCTATTTTAAGACCACTATTGATATAGTTTATTAAATTATATATATTTATTGGTATTCTAAAATGCTTAAATTTTACTGAGAAAATTATTTGATACATGAACATGTGCATATTTATGGATTGAAATATTTGGTACATGAACAGTGAATATTTATTGAGTGACCCATGTGATATGAAAATAAATATGTTTGGCTACGAGGACCGGTTAGTGCGGCTCTGCCGCTGACAAGTAATATTTAATGGTAGCCGACGGGTCAATTGTTGATCAAAATAATATGACAGCTATATGAAATGGCCAAGTGTTACAGCCACCAGCAACAGATAAAATTGAACGGCTCTATAAATCGGCCAGTGTATGAATGAATAATAGCCGATGATGTGGAATGACCCTGTGGTAAAGCCATATGCAACAAATGGTACATATAAACGGATATGAATGGCTATATATATATGGGTCGGCCAGTGCGGCTCAACCGCCGGCGATGGGAAGTACAAATTAAGCGATAGCCGATGAGTTAAATGAATGATATTTTGGAGAAACGATATATTGATAAGATGGTGCCAGAAATTACCACATGATAAATGTGATGTCGGAAGTTACGACATACTGATTAAATGATATCTGGTATATTGGTACTGGAAGCTACCACGTTATGATTAACAAAGTGATGAAATGGTACCAGAAGATACCATTGGATGATTGAACAAAATAAGAAAGTGGTACTAAAAGTTACCAGTTATGAGTGATCATACAAAATGATTTCTCAATATATTATATGAGACTAAGGGAATATATCAGATGACGAAAAATTGAAGAAAGAAAGTAGATTATAATCGTTCCGGTTTTTATACATTGTGTTCTTTATATTGCTCGCGTTTTATAATTGTAGTCATGAAGTACTACACACTTATCTTGTGGAAAAGCAAAATTGATATTATTATTAATAAGAAACAAGTACAGAAAGTTCACATGATGGAAATATGGAGAAAAGGCAGTACATACTCGATAAATACGAAATACGCAAATATTACAGAATAGAACCCATAAAAGAAGGGTGCGTCTCGAGAGTATAAAACTCCGTAACTCTGCCACCCATTATTGTTATATGGGTTCATAATGAGAGATCTAAAGGATCAAAAGCTCTTTTTCTTTTGACCCCTTATGTTTCCAAATAATCTTGAAATATGATGCATTCTTGGAGCTTTTTGATAAGCTCACCAGACGTATCTGCAAATTTGAACACTTCTCTTGTTGTAGGAGATATAAAGGTTTGATATACTCCTTGGTCTAAAAATCCAAGCAAACCAGAAAAAAAGTTATTAAAATTCAATAGACCTATGGGCTTGTTATGAAGTTTCAATTCTGCCCAAGAAGCAAAGATGAACATTGTCATTAGCATTCCATAACCGCCTGGAAGAATGATAAATGCATCGCTCTTGTTCGCCATATCCATCATACAATCATGAATAGAATGAGTTAGCATCATACATATGGAATCCTTGACAACCTTTGTTAAAGCTCTATGAAAAGGTATGATACTTTTCACTTCTATCTCAAAACATTTTCCGGCCAATAAAAGATTATAAAAGAAAGTGATGCTAGTCCCTCCATACAGTAAAGTGATTTTTTGATTTCCCATATCCCTTACTAACTGACTCACAATATCAACATTTTGAGAAAAACTTACCAATCTAGAACCACCAAGAACACATATGGTTTTGATCGGCTGAAGAAATTTATTACCTTGCGAAGGCTCTGAAACATCCA